TGTATATGAAAACAAATAATTTTGCTAAAATGGATTAATTAAGATATTAGATAAATTAGATAGATTAAATTTATTAAATTAAGTCTGTGATAAATCTGTGATAATCTTTCACTTTTAAAAATCTTGACGAAAATTCTTTCCTATTGCAAGGATAGGGATTGAATAAGATAAAAAGAAGACTGCCTCGGGAGTTAATCTGCGAGTCATTTACTTTTCGAATCCGCTTTGTGTTGGGACTGCGTCCTCAGTCAACCAGATTTACTCGTTCAAACGTAATCCTCTGCAGGGTGTCTCACGCAACTTGCCTTCTTCTCCGAAACTCCGCTAGATAATGAAATTCCATCGCCACGTGTCTCATTTCTTCTTTCTCCCTATCGTTCTCTTTCTTTTTATCCATCGTATTCCTATCTATTTGTTTCTAGATGGACCTGATTCTTCCTTCATCCCCGGACCAGATCGTCAAGGGAGGTCTCCGTCAGATAGAAGCCTTCCGACAGAGCGATGCGAATAAAGTCGGGAGAGGACACACGGGATCTATAAGGCTGGGACACGCCGCGATCTTTCGGCCAGCTTTGGATAACGAATAGGACTATTTCAAGAAGCGGATCGAACGTAACTGATAAAATTTTTGTGAATTGACAGTGTTGAGAGTTGAGACTATCCGTTAGAGCTGTATCCCGTATAGGTAACGTAAGTTGCCGAACAGACTCATGATCTATTTATCACCCTCGTCGTATCTTGTAACGACAGCGTTATCGCTCACTCATCCCGTGGGCGGGATAATTGGACGGGTTGATTAATTGGACATTCGGACAATTGGACGTTTAACGTACGGTTAAAGCCGCGCTAGGTGGGCGGATAAGGGTCAACTTAGTGTGGGCAATGCGGACACCCACGGTGGCCACATATAGGGTAACAAGCCATAAATACACACCGTATAAGCTTGGAATCGCCCGATTTAGAAATTCCATGAAAATATCTCGCCGAGATGAAATTGTTCGAGGGAGAGCCGTAAAAGACGAACCAAACGTTGAGAAATTCCCTCGGTCTTGGTAGATCGAAAGTAAAATCTGAATGTTGAGATGTGTCCCTTTAATTGGCAGGAAACTGTTCAATAATTAGAATGAAGTAGGAAAAATCTTCCGCTGTCTCGTTTAGCAGCGATCGGACTGTTCGATCTCGAAAGTTTGTTCTTTGTAGAACGCGTACTACCTCACAGCGAAACTCGAGATCGGACGGTTTACACATTTAATCGCGAACACTATCGGTTAGATTCTCACCCAGTATTTATGCTAAATATCAACGTTCGTGTTAACCAAAGAAAACTCCGATAGCTATATTTATCGATAAATATCGCGTCGTGAAGATACGGACCAAAGCGCGCCGATCGCTAAGAGAGATCGTTTCGACGAACGCTCGACGAAATGTTTCAGAAATACTCGATACGTTCCAAGGAAAATCGCGATACATGATTGATGAATCGTTAAACAGTATTAAGACTTAAACAATAGAAGAAATAAGAAACGAGAAGTAAAAAATAAGAAATTAGGAACAGAGAATTAAATTTCAACCTATAGAAATCTTTAATTTATCATCAAGGAATACCGAGATTTTCATCGGCTGCAAAAATAATTTTCCATTTCTAATTTTTTTATATTTAATTTCTTATTTTTTATCTCCCGTTGTGTCCAAGCTTTTAAATACGGTACATCGCGGACAAGAGATAATTAGGTTATTCAGAAAACATTACGAAATATTTACGAAACATTTGCGTTCGGTAATGGTCGGTATGTATATTTCTCAAGGCAAGTTTCCGCGATAAGGATGTAACGAAGCTAGATATGGCGATGTCACATTTATATTTGTACACACGTAACTTGTTTGACGTCACAAATCATTAAACCTGAGGCGGTAATGTAAATCTACATATGGATATTCGGGAATAAGTAGCGTGTCATTTGACATTTCAAGCCGTGTGCTCCTGAGATTATATAATCTCATAATTGTAGTAGATTAATTAGCTTATACCAGCAAGTCAATGCTGGGAGGATCAAACTTTAGATGAAGTAATCTCAGTTTGTTACTCAGGAGGATATTGCATTTTCTCTTCATTTTTTTGTTACTCTCACATCTTCCAATCCTATTAAAATATTAAATATCAGGCTATGATTCTATCTATTATTACTAGTAATATCTACTATTACATATTATTATATTATTAATAATAATTTTAGCAATAAAACAATAATGTAATAAGCTAGTAGGTTAAAAGACTTTTTAATGTATGTACAATTCTAAGCGGAACCCGTCTGACGGCAGGCACAGATGGGTTTTCGATATATTTAAGTCACTTTGTTTAAAGAAAAACTGGGGAAACCAAGTCGCTAATCAATGTATAAAAGATGCGTAAATAAGCAAATCAATATTATTTAGGTGCTTTAGACTTGACGAACGTGGTATCACGGGATTTTAATGATTCTTATATGATAAAGATAAATACCATAAGAATAGTGTAAAAGTTTTGACCAGATATGAAAAAAATGATATATTAATGATATATTGATGAAAAAAAATGAGATGATGATTGATGAAAAAAATTAGATATTAATGAAAGATCGAAAGCGACCAAATAGGCAACCAATCTATGGCACATTGTCGTATCGTTATAAAATTAGAATCAACGTTTGTGCAATGTGTAACAGTTTCCGTCTGTTGTATCAGTATATTTGTATGAAAGGGTGAGAATCACAATTACACCATCAAGGTTCATGTCAATAAGATAGTTATGAAATAATTATTTCACATAGCTAAATATATTTTTTAAACATTTAAATCTTTTTGATATTATTCAAATAGTTAATTGTAATGTCATTTATATTTTAGTAATTTGTAATGTCATTTATATTTTTTATTGTCGACAGTCGTCTTCCTTTCATTAACATACTATATATGTTAACGACTCTTTTCTTATCTCTTTTCGAATCGTTTGACAGACTGAATCAATAACGTAGAAGTAATTTAATTGAAAATCATCGAACAACAATGGTATTAAATGGTAACTTTACATTTTAAGATTGTCAAAGTATTGGCTATATTTGATGTATTATATCAATATAACAATAATAACAATATATATAATGATCCATCTATTGATACCGAACTACAAATATGAGATATGTAAAACTATTTTAGCATCGACTTTCATTTGCCAAGAATCACAGAATTAACTGCAAAATAAAAGATATTTCTTATTATGATGAGATTTAAAGGGGAGATTTTATAAAATTTTCAATTAATATTATTGTAATTATTTAATAATTGTAATTTTATTCAATTGCGGAGAAATTTAATTTAAAGCAATTCTACGAATTATGGAGGAATTTTGGAGTATGACTGTTTCAGATTTCATTGCGTTACGATTGTAATTTTATATATTGTTGCGCTCATGGCAATCAATTATTCGACGTTCATTCATTCACTCGTGCTCACTCGCGAAATAAGCGAGACCGTCTTAGGAAATGAATGAATTTTATTAATACAACAAGAACAGGAATTAAATGGCAAAAGTAAACGCTAAAATTCTCACCAGCGATCAGAATTTCGCCATGGCTCTCTTCGTTATTATTTTTAGAACAACGCATTGACAGGAAGAGATTTTTTCTTTCCCGTATAACGATGAGCCGATTTTCACTTGGTCATATATATATATATATATATATATTTTGTTAACTTTATAAATATGACATTCAGGTTGCAAAGTGGCTTAACTGTATTTTCGTGTACTCTAGTAACAATAAAAACTGTTTCTCTCTGCTAAAATTTCATAAATCATACAAATTTTTGATGATATTATGTAAAGTACATGAAAATATAGTTAAGCAGTTTTGTAGTCTAAACGTTGATATATATATATATATATATATAAAACATATACAAGTCATTAAAAACTTGACGCTTTCAGTAATGACCCTTAATAATTTGCTACACAAGTTACATGCATCTAAAAACAAAATTTTATCTTGTCTTAGATAAGTAGAACTTTTTGTAAATTATAAGTCGACTTTTCATGAAATTATTAATTATTCGATCTTTTCAATTGCAAAGAGATTCTAAGCGAAGAAAGGGTATTTTTTAATGTTGAGCTAATAAGAGCTTCGGCAATGAAAGGTCGATCGTCTTGTACGTGTGTATATGTATACAGTAATTACATTAATTAAATCTATATAGCGAAGAGTTTTATATTTTCCACTGGGACAACGCGTACGTATCTCGACGCGCAAATTAATTTAACTTAAGTAATAGCGAGTACAAACTGTACGATCCGTACGATTAAACCACAATGTTGTAAACGGCTTTAAATGTTTAATTACGTACTAGTCAATTTTCTCCTAGTATGTCACTATCTAAATGAGAATCAGTAGTAAATAAATGAACAATTCCCTTTTATATGTCCCGAATTTATTTAAATTCGGAAATCCATCCCGTGTCTTATTTCCATTAAAATCTTTAAATTCTTAAGAGAGTTGCTACGTGCTCTTGTAAAGATGCATAGCTATCGTGCTGATGCACATAGCTTCCAGCTACGTGTATGTAGCTATTAATTATGAATATTTAACAATGTCTCACGTCGAATTATGCGAACAATGAGAACACCCGAGCGATCGAGCAAACGTCGGCCCAAATATTCAGCGATCGCGTTTATAATTAATTAAGCCGGAACTCATTTGCCGTTTGTGTGAGGAATTTATCACGCTGTAACTATCGTATATCTCACTGCGTTATCTGTGACGGGGCAATCAAACAGACGGGGAGAAGGAGGAGATTTACGTTATGATTATTCATGTTTCGTACTGTTTGCGCGGTTACTATCTAATTATGTCACGCACGCCGAAAAGCTGATTTGGGGGGAATGAATGCTGGACCACCTAAAGTGATAACATCTCGGTCGTCTGTCACACGTAGCGTTTCGGAATAAAAGCACAGGCTAAGTATACTATTCGTATAAATTACCATGCGGGATTTCGTCGCAAAGTAAACAAATGAAATGGCATCAATAATAGAGATGCCAACGGTCAGGAATCAGTTGTGACAAAACTGATATTCTGAATAATCAGGAGAAGGTGATCTTAGCAAAGGATAAGGAGAAAAAGGGAGAAAAAGAGGGAGAGAATTGCCGTTGTTATTTGCGACAACGTGGAAATCTCGCGTGATCGCTGGTACAAGAAAACTGAAATATAACTGAAAACTGAAATATAGTACGGCAACCGGAACTGGAAAAAGTAAGTGATGTAGCTAACATGTGGAGAGAGCGGAGTAAAGCATAATGCGCATAATGCATCTAATCATATCGTGTCGCAAGAGAAAGATACATTGAAATACAGGAGCGTCCAACGACGACAAAAGGGATGAAAGCATCGAAAAGAGAAACAAGAGGAAGAAGAACAGTTTTGCGAATGAAAAATATTTCTTTGCAATATAAAAGGCATGAGATGTGCGTGCGTATATAAATATAAAGAAATATTTTTCATTCGCAAAACTATATATACACGTATATACGTTCGTACGTATGTACGAGAATCGTTTTCCTCATTCTAATGAAATATATTTATTCTCTTTCGAGATATTTTTATTAAAAAATGACATATTAATTACAAACTGGGTGTTTGTTAAAATAATAATATAATAAACTTATATTTTACTAAAAATTTATTATAATTGATCACGATTATTGATGAACTTTTTAAGAAAAGATTGAATGAATAAACAGTTTTAGAATCATACAAATTGTGTATAAAACTTACTAAACTTCATAAATTCTGAATTTATAAATTTTTTTTTATATAATAGAAATTATATAGAAAAGATAAAATATAAAAAAATAGAAATTTGTATGTACTCCTTTTTATTTCTAAAAAGCAGTATTTTTTTATAATATTGGAATATTGTGAAATTATAAAAATTTAATATATAAACTTTAATTTATAATCTCAGCTTATAACAAAGTTGAAGGATTAATCTTACGTACTTTATTAGCAAAGATTAATTGCATTTCAACCCTGCGACTTTGTGCATAATACTCGACATTTGATACGGTGGCTTTGTTATTCTCAAGTGTGAAGCGTCGTACCACAGCCGGAAATTGTTTGTTGCAAAACTCTGCTATCGCATCGCTATAGTGGCCGGAAGTTACTATTGACTTATCGGACCGAGGTACGAAATCTTGAACCAAGATAGCGTGAAAACCCGAGGGATTGAACTCCAGTCGAAATTAACGTAGACGAAAATTGGATTCGTCGTCGACAGGTAATGTGATAACGTATCGAAAATCTATCTCAGATCAACAGATTGCGTTACTTAACGTTTACGTGTCAGGAGTAATTACACGTGCTTCTGCACATTCATTGCATCTGCACATTATTTGTGCCAAAAAAAATCGATACGCTTTAACTAAAGTACTTTTCCTTTTTGAAATTTCTTTTATGCATAGATTTACAATGTCGAATAATTTTATTTTTATTTTTATTTTTTGCACTTTTCTCGACAAAGATAATTATTATAAAAATCACGTCAGAGTTAATATAAGATTTGAAAAAATTAGATTATATAAAAATATGTAATTATGTAAATGCATGTTTTGAACAAATGAGAGTAGTATATATCTGTTTATTATAAATAATGATGAATTATTATAAATATTTTTTTAACGTACCAAGAGATTGCGCAATAAAGAATTTAAATATGAAGAATCGAGAAAATATGAAAATGATTTCTTTTATTTCCGAGATATTTATTCATTTCAAATGTTAGAATTAAAATTCCTGAATTGAACGGTGCAAGTGTGCAAACATACATATTGCTAGCGACAAGCTTAATGCATTTCTCTTGTTTCGAACTGAATTAAACTCTAACAAGAAACTTTATTTCTCGTTGGGCTCGGAAAACACTTTATCTCTCTTGAATAATTTTGGCAAGATGGAATTTTAGCTATGCAAAATTTACGATGCCGTTTTTTTATATTTTTTTGAAACGTTTGCTTTGAACGAAAAAAATGCAAACCCGCACCGCCAGCGGTTTGCAATTAAAACCGAGAGAAATATAAATATTGTTTCGTTTAATTTTAGATACAATCTACGTGTAATGGAATTTGTATTTGCATTTCTCACAACAAGATAATAAAGTAACAGAAAGCGATGCCGTTGAGGAAAACCGCGTTAAAATTAGTTCGTCCACTCTAACAATTCAATCAGTGAAATGAATCTAGTTAAAATGCAATTGTCATCAATGCGAGAACGTTAAGTAGGAAATAGGCTATCTTAGCTGGATGAGATTAGTAGCACTACTAATTAAAGAGCGTGTAGATCCAGCTCGTTAATCTCTGAGATAGCAATCTCAATGACGTCTTCTCGTGTTTCAGTCACTTACCGGCTTCCACTTTCACGAGTTAAATGTATATTCCGATAGATGGAAATTAGAATTATTGCTCAATTTTCTTGCAATTTAGAATTGGGGGAATCTTATTCGCGGGAAGAATATAAAGATTATTATGACTCACTCTCATAATAAACGTATCAGAAATTGTTCGTATCTATCGAAGGCAAACTAGATCTTCGATTATCAGCGATTAATAATAATCTTGTATCAACTAACATATTATTAAATGACTCGCAATTCTAAGTCATGTGACTCATTACTACTATTACATAAATCTTACTCGATGTCCAGTTTACATATAAAATAGACGACTGCAGATAAAATTAGATAAAAATGCTTATTTATACAGAAGTTGCTTAATTTTGATAATTCATATCTATTATCTTTAACTTTAATCGTAATATTTCTGAAAAAATATATAGGAACTCTTCAAACCATGAAACTTTTATAAAATATTAGATATTTCATCGTAAATAAAAAAGTTTAAGAAAAAGGAGGATCGCAGGGATGAGAGATTCAGAACAGGCGATTATTAATGGTAACACTAGGAAATACTAATTGGTATATATAAACATAATTTATTTTAAATAAATTCTTAACATAAGACCATCCTTTTAAATTTATATAATGTAATACTTATGACATACAAGATCAGAATAGTACGTACTCGGATAAAAATACATATAATCCCAATATTGTATTCCCAATACAATATCGTCTGTTGTACTTTAAAAATTTTCTTGTGACAATCTTCCCGTCGCAGACGTAGAATGAATCTTGTCGGTATATAAATATAATGTACATGCGCTGTTCTATGATCGCAAGAATCCTGTCGTAGCATACACTGCAGAAGGCTACTGTGTAAGCATACAGTCGATTTGCAAGCTGTGCTCGCATACGGCGCATGTGCTGGAATCAGCAGACATCAGTTCTAATAAGTTCGATAAATCCTTTTGTGTATGTGTGTGTGTGTGTGTGTCAGTCTTTTATTTAAATCTACTGTATAAATGATTATATCTATCGTTCAGACATAAATCTTGTGTACATGTGTCGTAGTTAAAAAAAAAAAAGAAAAGAAAAATTATTAAGTTGCCGTATAGGAGGTCAGAGCAAAACTACAAATGTATATATGAGAGATATATTATGTACACAAAAACGAATTTATTTAATCCTATTATTATCTTATTAATAAGGAAGAAGTAATCCTTTTATATTATTTCACACGGTCGAGATAGCTTGATTTATCTTCTTATTCCTTTATGTATCATTTCTCTGCATGCCATGTAAAAAGTACATTGCCTGCTTACTTCATATAGCATTATTTCTCCGTCGTGCTATTTTGTAGAAAAAAAAATTAAAATAATCTATAAGTATTTACGGTATGCGATGCGTGTGCGCAGGTACACGCAAGTATATTGTGAGAATTGAAAAGCAAGCGCGTATGTGTATATACAAAAGCAAAAAATCAATGAAATATTATCGAAACAGCTTTTGTAGATTTTTATACTATTCCATTAGTTCCGTTTCTCTTGATGATCTTGACTGATGCTCATGGGTTTTAAATGGAATGATTGGACGAGTTGCAACGTGTGATTGTAAACGGAAACCGCGTCTTGCGATACCTGAAAAGGAAAAAAATATTTTAATTTCTTAATTACTCGTATCTTATACATATTAATTTATTAAAATTAATAAAATAAATTAACATAGATAGAAGCATGATGAAACAGATTTACAAATAAAAAAAAAAAATAGACAAGAAGAAATAATCGTAGATACAAAAATTAGCACAATAAGAGCAACAATGTACGAAATATTTTGATATGCATGCAAAATATAGGTATTAATTTGAGATTATTGTTAAACAATTAAAGTGTGAATTAAGGATTATAAGAAAAATATTTGATAACTTCAACTCTTTTCAAAAACTTAAAAAGACTACTTATAATTAAAAATAATTGTTCATAAATTTCTGAAAATCTTGAAATAGAAAATTGAAATGTGCATGTTTCACGTTTTTTGTGACTATTTTAAAACAAAAAAATTCTATTATTATTTCTATTATTATCTATTAATTCTATTATTATTATTATTTTTTTTATTAATTGTGTAATTTATAAAAATCTATATATTAATTTCATATGTAAACTTATTTTTACACATAACAATTCTTTGGATTTAATGTAAAGGTGGAAGTAAGAATATTAGGGATTTGGATAGTAACTCACCGACAGTTACAATGCGAATTGCATTGCGGTCATAAATAATGAGGATTCCGTTATTAATAAGGTTGGTGCCTCTGGTTCTGACGACCACCCCTTTGCTTGCCACCGTAGCCTGAACCTCCTGAAACATACCGGCATGGCGCATTGTTAGTCTAATCACCCGGTCAGCTGCATATATGGCTCGTTTATCTTTATAAAAAGAAATTGGAGTAAATATATACGTCTAGAAAGTATGTATATCAACTACAAAAGAAATGTTAAGTCACGTAAGAACTTATTTGGAAAGTAATAAAGCTAGTGACAAATATAAATATAAGAGAGAAAACTCTAAAGTATCTATATAGAGGCTACAGGCTAAGGTAGTAAGCTGCAGGCTGTGTAATTTAAGGCTTTTCCCATCTTCCATGTTTTTAGGGCTATGGCTAAATATAAGATTAACATTCAATCGGATGCGATCGTTAGACAATTCTATCCTATTTACGAATTTAAAATTTATTTATGGATATATGAACTCATTACATCTGACATACAAAAGAAAACTTTTTTTAGAATATCCAAAATTAATCAAAATATGCGCTTCATGATAAAATTGTGTGTTATGTAATGAAGTTCATTCTTTTATATGCGTTGTTAGAGTTAACTGGAAGATAAATGATAAGAAATGATCACGAATTTATATTATATGTAATTATATATACGGTATGTCATAATTTGTTTCCAAAATATACTTGGACATAATTCAATTAATGATCATTTCTATCAATATAGATTAATTTACTGTTTATCTAACTTTTAAAATTAAAAGATAAAAAGTAAATTAAAGAGATTAATATTAATATATATTAGAAATAGATGTCTTCCTTGACGCATGCAACCGAAATAAATCATTAATCCCCAAGGAATTATATTAATTTCTTCCCTATTACATTTCATTTCTTTTATATACATATAGACATTAATATTTATTCGTGAACAAACAATATAAAAGGTGAAAAAGAAAGAATAGAGCAATAAAGAATGGGCAAAACGAACAGAGATAAGGAAAATGGAACTTTCGATTTTGAATAATGTAGAAAAGTAACACACAGATGAATGTGTACGAGAAAATGCATGTGGGCGAAATATATGTCATTTAAAACGTGTAATTATATGGGTTAGGGAATAAAATATAAAAAGAAGGACGCTACAATGCGTACCTTTACCGCGTGCGCCACCGCGCCCGCCACTGTAGCCTCCGTCGTAATTACCACTGCCATAGCCATATCCATCTGCATTTCATGGAACACACGGTATAAAGAGACAATGGGATCAGTGCATCTCCTTTTATACTAAACTGTTTATGCACTTGGCACTCAAAATAAAAAAAATGTAAATATATTCAATAAAGATTGATTACTTTAAATGATACTTAAACATCCAATGATAATTATTATATTGTTTCAATAAAACATATTCATGAAATATATTCTGAAAACAAGTTAATTGATTTGCGATAGATTATTATAAATAAACGAAAGACAATTATCTTTCAAAGAGTTTTTTGATTTTGATTTTCAAACACAAATAGTGATTGTTTGGTAATGCTAATATTATAACGTAATGTTGTTTCATAGCAGGTTGCATGAATGTAGAAATAACATGCGTATAGAATTTACATAAAAAGAAATAATTTATCATGTTAAACTCATTACTGTATCAGACAGAGTATATGTATAAACAAAATTATAGTTGTATCGATAATAATATTGTAATAATCTCTTTAAAAATTGAAACTATTAAATTAAAATTAAAATAAACTTTCTTTTTATTTATATTTGACATAAGGTAAAGTTTTGAAATTTTAAAGTTAGACGAAATATGAGAATATATAGAGACTTCAATTGTTCGTAATTTAGGCTAATTAACTTAGGCTGTGTTTGTAAATTCATTGTCAGTATTGAAAATCTATAGAATACATTACGTAGACCGTTTTCAGTACTAGTAGTGAATTTACGAACATAGCCTTAATAATGGATTAAGTAAAGAAACCATGGCCCAGTAAAGAAATTTCGGAAATCATAAGATGGAAAAGTAGCTATTACTATTCTCGTATCGTATTGTCACAAGAACATGTGTCATCGTGAATGAGATGATCGTTAAAATGTGAAAAAAATATGATGCGTGTGAGGAATGTGACAGAATCGAAAGCAGGGTTCAAAGGTTAGTTTCATACAATAGTGTATTGCAGTTTTACTTTAATCTATTAACTATTAATTTTTACTTTTAATGAATGATTATATATTAATATTGACTAGATATTGATTAGATATAATCAGCTAATTTTAATAGCATATTATATTGATTGACTGTTAGTCAATCAATACAATGTGTGCAATTATGTCTTTGTTTTGATTGTTTAATAATCAAAATATAAAAAATGCTACCGTTAAAAGTAAACATTATCTCTCTTCAAATACACTATTGTACATTATATTAATTTTGTTAACTGCATTTGTAATTATGTATAAATTAAATATCAATAGAGTTTTAATATAACTTAGGAAATAAGAGAACTAAAGTTTGTTAATTGGTTATAATGCAATTAACACAGCCAACGCTTTGGAAATAAACAATCTAAAATAGAAGATAATGTAGATTATATTCGTTTTGCATTTTTTCAAGTCCTAACAATTATGAAAGTTATAATTCGTGATATATCAAAAGAATATATCTGAAAAATATTCTATGAGTTTGAGTCACTAGTTTATGTAAAAACTTGCAATTGATAAAAAAGTTAATTAAACAATTATTCATATTTATAATTTAACTGTACAAAAATGATTTATCCTTTAAGGCTCAGCTCTCTCGCTGCAACCATATTGAATTATGACTATTAAATTATCAAAGGCGAGAAATGACATGTAAAAAGTTTCTTGCGTCGTATAGCTTTATTTTGTACTTTTCCCTTAAAAACATATTTTCATATTTTTAAAACTTGTAAAAAATACCAGAAAATAAGATTCCTGTCCAATAAATCACGTAAAAGTGTAAAATAATTCTTGAAATAATGATACACGGTTTAGCAGAAATTACTAGATTACTAGAGCTAGTTGTTTTTGATAGCTGAGCAGTGACCATTATTTCAAGAATTATTTTACACTTTTGACGTCACTTACACTTCACGTGATTTATTGAACAGATATCTTACTTTCTAGTATTTTTTACGTTTTAAGTTTTAAGAATACGAAAATATGTTTTTAAGGGAAAAGTACAAAATAAAGCTATACGACGCAAGAAACTTTTTACATGTCATTTCTCGCCTTTGATAATTCAATATGGTTACAGCTGAGCCTTAAAGGATAAATCATTTTTGTACAGTTAAATTATAAATATGAATAATTGTTTACGATGCAAAAAACTTTTTATGTCATGTCATTTCTCGTCTCTGACGTCATACAACTCATGTCGCGCCGCAAGAGAACCTTAAGTTAAATATGGTAAATATATCAGTACGAGTAGATCAGAATTGTCATTGATCTATCCGTAAACCAACACATTCCTATGTCCTAATATCTTATGATAATTTATCCATAATACATACATAACATTTCTGATCATTCCATTTCCATTTCACCAAATAATATATTAATGAAGCAGACAATACGTTATGATATATATCTAATATACACAGAAAAAAATGTTATCGGTTAATCACAAAAAAAAGGAAGAAAAAGATAAATAAAAAAACAATTTGGATGCACGGAATGAGGAATAAAATCAGATTTGATGCATATATTTTTCTCAGATGTCTATAAAATTTATCATAATCGTCTTCCGAATACACTGGGACGGTAACAATGACTAATTTAATTTAATTGTTATATAATAATTGCCTTTTTTTTTTCGTAAGAAAAAAAAGAGAAAAAAAAGCGTAAAATAATATCAGTAACAATCGGCATAAATACCGATTCTATCGTTGAACCTAATAAGTTAATAAAATTACCGTATCCACTGTAGTCGTAGCCGCCGTAACCTCCGTACCCACCACCACCATAATAGTCTCCGTATCCGTATCCATCATAGCCTCCGCCATATCCTCCTTGGCCATAGCCACCGCTGTAACCGCCGCCGTAACCACCTTGCCCCCATCCGCCTTGACCGAATCCTCGGCCTCTACCACCTCTGCTGCCACGACTACCTCGACTACCGGGTCCACCGCGCATACTAATCATCCCGTCGGGCTTAGGTGTTGCTTTCTTCACGTCAACCTATTCATTTAAAATATATAATCACTGTTGTTCTATATAATAGAATATTCTATATATAGATATATCTATACTTAAAATCTTGTTTTTCATAGACCAACTTTATTATACATTAGATAAAAACAAAAACCGTTCATGAATATGTATTGCATTAGCAATTTAGAAAAATGAATTTTACAAACATCTGATATTTAATTAGTTTTATAAACGTCTGTTTACTTACTTCTTTACCATTTATCGTTTGTTTCGAGGTCTTCAAGAGTTCATTAACCACTTGTTCAGATTCGAAAGTAATGAAACAGAATCCTTTCCTCTGATTTTTTGTTTTGTCAAATGGCATCTCCATTTCGACGATCTTAAAGATTTATGTGTTTGACATACTCGTGAAAAATACTTGTTTATAATTACAATTATAGTATACAAAAACAATAAAATATTTACAGTTCCAAATTGTGAAAAGAAACTCTTGATGTCATCATCGGAAAGTTCTGTCGAAAGCCCACCGACAAATATTTTACCGTGTCTGGCTTTTGCTTTTTTAGGATCAACTTTTTTATTGTTGATAATATGATCACCAGCAGACATAATCTGGAAAATAGTTTTACTTTTAATTTTTAAGTATTTAATAATTGCTTATTAAAAAAAAATTGTTATACAAATGTCTCAGAAAAAAAAATTTGTCGTCATAATCATTCAGTAGCAGAACTGACATTAAGTATCATCATCTCATAAATCAGACAAACAGTAATATTACACAATTGTTTTATATCGCGATAAAATACATAATTAAATACCTTGTCAAGAGATTCAGCTTTAGCGAATACAATGAAGGCAAATCCTCTCGATCGCCCTGTATTTGGATCTGTTTTGACATTGATACTTTCAATATCACCATATGCGCTGAAATGTTCTCGCAATTCCTCTAAAAACGTATAAAATACTTGTAAAAATATTTTATAATTTATATCGTTTTGAAAACGATATAAATAATTCTATTTAAACTCAGTACAAAATTCTTTTCACATGACAATCGTCATCCAAAGGTGTCCTAAGAAGTTTCATCATTGTTGATCTCTTTTTATTGCGCATTTATTTTTTACAAAACTGCGAAGAGAATCGTTTAAAGATAATCTCAGAACGAAAGTTACTTACTGTCTGTCGTTTCCCAGCTTAAACCACCGACAAATAATTTCCTGCGAAAGAAAAGGAAAACAGAAAATTAAAACCAACAGAAGCGAATAAAAGGTACATTTTGTCTTGACTCTTTAATCATTATTGCGAAACCGAATATTTATAGCAAGAAATTTACGGTTTAATATCTAAATAAGATCGCCATTCAGGCTTGCGATGTTGGCAAATTCTCAAAATCTCTGCAACTGCGCGCAAAAAAAGTTATCTGCAATGAAAACGGTGAAGGACAGCGTGTGTCAAATGTATCTCGGCCTCTTTCGCAAGTGACTGTTACAAGTTACAAAATAATCATAGTCGGGTCATTAGTCAATGTATAACTTGCGCGTTAGATGCATAACTTCATCGTCTCATATCTTATCGCATTTTTCTTTCACTTTCTTAACACCGATATCAAAGAAAATAAGAAAAATATAATGAAATTTGAAAATACCTATCGTTCAGAGAATCCTGGTTAGCCCCGGCCGACCTGCAAAGCAACGGAACGAATTTATTTCACCAGATGAATTTCTCGAATGTATTAATTAATATTAAAAAATTAAGACCGAAGCAAAAATTTGATTTTTAACGAAACGATTCCATTTATTGGAAAAAAAGAAAAAAAAAAGGAGATAAAAAGTGTCGATTTAACCCCTGGAAAGACTAGAATCAGTGTTAAGGTATGAAAAAATTGAATGTAGACGATGTGCAAAAAACGTAATAGACCTGTAGTGTCATTCGCAAAAGGGGCACTGGGATCGACTATCGAAAAGATTTATATAAATGGGAAATTTTATCCAGTTAAAATATCGCATATGTGTGTAAGACTAAATATATATATAATATATATAATTATGTATATCTACAATAAACTGCACAAGTTTAATCTACAGCTAATTAAATCGCCTAATCGTCGTAATTTAGAAAAGATTTCTTATAACAAGAAACATAATTACAAAATACAAAGCAATTACAAGAATAAAAAATGTCAGTCCTAGAATAAACGAGAATTGATGAAGATAGCTTACGATATAGGCATCTGTCCTTTGCTTAAATTGTTATAATTAACAACCATGAGAAGACTGCTTTGCACGCCATAGAGACCTTGATTCGAATATTCAATTATAAAGAAAAAAAATAGGAAAAAAAAAAACGAAAAAAAGGGAAGAAACAAAAAAACTTGGAAAAGAACGTGTGTGTGTGTGTGTGTGTATGTGTGCGCGCGCGCGCGTGTAAAAATTAATGCATTGAGAACAAGATACTATGCATCGACGTTTGCGTCGAGAACCCGAGCAATAGTTACAGAACTCCAGTTGATATATCAGCTGCTCCTAAGGAAAATAAGATTTAATTTTTCCAAGTGGTACTCTGACTGCAGATTCGCCCAAAGAATATGGCATATGCTAGGATAGACTGCAACTCTATATCGAAAAGCTAAAAAGATTGTTTTTACATTACGATTGAATGACACACGACTCTTGATACTTTCAATCGATATATCTATGTATATATAATATAGATGGATATAATATATATAATATGTAATATGGGATATTGATTTATATTTATGCGTATATGTATTTTATATTTGTTACATATATGTTAAGCTCTGTTTCTTTCTCATTCTGTCTCTTTTCTTTACAATGTTCATTGTTCATTTATTTACAACATTCAACAAATTGTGACAATGCAAGAGAAGATCTCAACTTCTGAGATATATATATATATATATATATTTTCGTTCTTTTTCTGTATTCTAATGAGCTGCAAGCTTGGCTTTTAGATCTTTGTTTTGTTTTTGCTGTCAACAATTGACGATAATTGATTTACTTATTATATTCGACTCTTTATTTTTATTTATGGCTGGTGATAAATACCGTTGGCACCAGTCACTCGCCGGTAATCAGTTGTTGGTCGGGTTCACGTTTCCACCTGCGAGCCGCCCGCCATGTGAAAACCGTTGTTGATCACCTGCAGATCAAGCCACATAAACTGGGGTTAATGGCGTTCCGACCTACTGGAGGTTTAGGTATTTCGTCCCTATGATTCTGTGCTTTGGTCACGCCCAAACAGCATTTGCATCGGAAATTACTCTACGCGTGACCCAGCAGGCAAGTGTGTGTCTGTGCGAGACTTATCGATCTGACGAAATTAATTCGAGTTCCAGTGCTCGTGTTGTGACGGAACGTGACGAACTTGAACTTGAACTTGACGTAGAGACTTCTCGCAAGAATTCGGACTCGGAAATCACTGCATAAGGTTTTTCGGTTTCACATTTCCCACATTAGCGTATGTATATTGTCAATCGTAAACAATTGACTGTTACCAGAATTCAGCTGCAATGAACGTACGAGGATAGAAGAATTCGGCTGGCCAAAAAATATACTCGAAACTTTTAGGCTCTATAAAAACATTACGATTATATTATTTGCTTAATGACATTGCGTTCGCAAAAAACTGATCGACTGCAGAATCCATCAATTTCTCTTTATCGATTAAACAACTACAATTAATAATTAAGTAACTAGAGAGGGATAGAAACAAGGAGTTTGATACACAAAATTACGAAAAATTTCAAAAACAGATAAATGTACACCTCGCAACAACAGCACATATAAAATTTACAAACTAGCAACTTTTATCGTCACATATCGATGTCTTAAATTATTCTTGCGTAATACAGCATGCAAATATATGTCATTCCAATCTCTGATTATTATAAATATTAGAGTGACGTAGAGTGGAGCGCGTCGGCGTTTTTGGCTGTTTACTTCCGTTACTTCACGTGAAAATCATGTCCCTCGATACGAAACATATCTTTAGCTATGGAACAGAAGAAAGCGCACATCCCCAAATTCATATTCAAAACATTGTAGATATATAGGCGATAGTAATATTTACACAAATTCACTTCTCTTTATACTTCATTGGTAAGAAGATATTAATAAACGATATTTACATATGAATACAGAATTTGTAGATTACATTCGCTTTCGGAATTTTATGTCCTGAAAAAGTTTTACGCACCTTCAAGATCGATTCAATCGAACGATGTCTTACCCTTTGTTTGCAAAAAGATACCCAAAATTAGCGTTCGCAAAAATCCAAGGCTGTGGGAATACAAAGAGCAAAAAACGAAAAATGAAAAAAATATGAATAAAAGAAAGAGTAGATGCAAAAATTTCCTTGACAAATAGAATAGATGACGACGGAAGAGAAAGAAAAACCGAGGGTGAGCGTATAATTAAATCGCAAAATATTTACACAGACAGAAAAATCCTGTATTCTCTCGTTAATAAGAACCGGATAAAAAACAATGTCGGTTGATCAAATTCATCCAGCTCAAGATCCCGTTACGCTGAAAAAAGGGAGCGCAGGGAGAGGGGGAGAAAGCAGACGAGAATGTCTTAATCAACATTTTGCATAAAGCGGGACTTTATGGGGCACATTGCCTTCTCCTTGATTTATACAATTTTTTTAAAAAAATATATTTAATCATTCTACTATTACGTCGCAAGTGAATTCATTCTTTTTTTTCGCGCTCACAAGGAACAAAGATTTCCACGTGTTCGTTAACGGAAGTGACGAGCGCGCCCAAGTAGCGAAGCGCGGCAGGAGTACTATGCCGGTTTGATTGATATTTCTCGGCATTCAATGGCCGCTGTGAATTCGCTATCACGTTTTATTCTATCCGTCTTATCTCTCTTTCTCTTTTATGATGCCTTGGGCGCGCCCTTCCGGGCCAGCAGATCGGCGCCTCCACTCGTTTCTTACACACCGCCATTGTTACTGCCGGCCTCTTTTTGTGAAAAGAACCTGATCGCGAACGAGAATCGCTAAAAGACGGACATTCGCGTGCACGGCGCGCCACGAGGAAGCGATGAGACCGTATCGCCGAAACGTAGGCGTTCGTCGTCGCGCCGATGCGAACGGATTACGTTTCGCCGCGGACCGCACGCCTTCGCCATTTTGTGAGACGCGTGCCTGCCGCCCGCCCGTCCGCGCGCGCGCGCGCGCGCGCATATCTCGTCGCCGCGTCGCGAAGTTATCGTCGGATTTGCGCGATCGCCGCGGTTAAGCGCGCTGAAGTAGTACGCGATCGCGCAACCGGCAGACAATCGACGAGCCGCGGCACGAGGGTAGACAAACCGGGAGGGGGGAAGAGGCGGAGAGGGAATTACCTGTCTTCCTGAGACTCCTGATTGTTTTCCGTGACATTGTTCTCGCCGTTGTTCTCGGCCTCGCCATTCTGTTCCGCGAAGTTCTGCTCCGCGATATCCTCGCTGAAATCCTTATTTTCCTGATCGGCCATCGTGCCTGCTCTCTTTGTCGACTTTACCTGCGTGATACGGTGCGACTCGCGGCACTACGGTGCACACTGCGAGCACAGAAAAAGGGCTACTCGAGCGTTTTTCCGATTGCCCGATGTACGTCCGCACCACTAGACTGCCGAATGGAGAAGGAACTGCGACGCCGTGCGCCGCTCCGAGATCCTCCCGGCTCGTGATTCAACGCGCGAGGCATCTCGGGATGTTCGCTCCCTCCGTCCGGATGACGACCAATCGCGTGGCGTCGTTCAGGCTCGTCCGACGTGTCTTCGGCACCCCGAGACTCGATCGCGTCAAATATCAATGAATTTTTTTCGCGCTGAAATGCGATTTCATCACGTAAATCTTCTGGTTAGATGTAAAACAATATCTTGATTATGAAAATTTTTATTTAGCCTTTCCGATTCGTTCTCTGTGAACGAATGAGAATGTGAAGAATGAAAATCTTTCCATTGAACGCTTTCTATTTCATTCATGAATGTAAACAATGAGAACTCTTATGAGTATTTAATTCATCCTGAATTCACACTTTTTTGTTTTGGTTATTGAACTTTATGACTGAGTTGAATCATCATTTGTAGTGAGTACGGCATTAATGAAAACATTAAGAACCAATTTATTAGAACCATTTTAAATTAAATTTATTTCTCAGATCTAATAAATGTAATGTTTGTATAAAAAAAAAAGCGAACTCATCATTAGCGAGATCTGTAAGCAAATTACGCTATAATAAAAGTGCCTTGATATGATAAGTTCTGTTCCATCTACAGCAATTAAAAGAATTGCTGAATGGACGATTACATGAGATCAAAATAAGTCGAATACTTACGTTCCTGATTGCGTTCCGATCGATGGCTAGAGAGTGCGTCATTGGCGGGAAGAGGCAGGAGGGAGGAAGGAAGAGGCGAAAGAGAAGAGACGGATTTAGCAGCTATGAACAGCACACATTGAAAATTTTGGTGATGTGATGCGACTGATGGGAGGAAAAAGTAACCAATAAGATTGCTAAGAAACACGATTCTCAGTCATTGACCAATGGTAGAAAGTAAAGAATCCCGCTTATTATTGTTGCAATTTCCTGGCATTTTATTTATATCCATTTATTTTTCAAAAATTAATAAAGCAATGTCCGGCATTCCATATGTGAATTTCATCACAATATAGACCTCTGGAACGTGAGATGAAGCGAAATAATGTTATTTTTCGTTGCAACGGCGACTTTTTTTTATAAAAGTATCGTGGCGCTGATATCGGTTGACGCGGATATCGCCATCTATGTAGAACATGCAGTACTCAATGTTATAAAATGTTCATATTTTTATCTCACTTCGGTCAAGGCTATACAAATGTGATGATCGCCTGAGGCGAGATAACAAAAATCGAAAAAAAATATCGATTAAATACATACAAACTATCAAAGATTCAATTAATTGTTTTATTTTTTTGAATTATTTTTAATTATTTTTAAATTAATTTCTTTTTAATTTAAAAATATATTGTTTTTTAATTCTGTCATTAATTAAATTTATATTGTCGAATCTTTTAGCTATTTAAAATAAACATTCAATGTCGCTGACAATATTATAGTTTTATTAATTAAAATAAATAATTCTCTGTTATTCTTTTATTATTCACTTGATCGCTAATACATGTAAAAATCAAAGCCATATTTCATTTTCTAAAAGAAATGTTATTATTTATTTATACGTAAAGAATATGTAATATTAATTATCCTCTTTTGATAAAATAGTTAAAAATCATTTGTTTAAAATAAAAAACAGAAAAGAGGTATTGTTTTCCAAGAATTTTTTAATTTTTCGAAATATTTTTTATTTCTCATATTTCAGGAATATAACTTTTTCGAGATATTGTCTAATTTTTGAGATTTCGGAATTATAACTTACTTTTCCGGATATTATTGAATGTCTTACATTTCGGGATTATGATATTTTGAGACACTATCTTAGTTTTTAATTTTTAAAAAATCTTTTAGGACTCTGCGTGTCTACCATGGAATATTTCTCGTTTAATTTAAATCTGCTGCTAATGTGTCTATTAATGTGATATACTGCAATATAAATCTAGCTTTGAAAATATTCATTTTTTTCATCTATTTCATCTTGACTTTTTTTTATAAATAAAAACTTTTTAAATTCTAAAATTCTAGAAATATTAGCATCAAAAAAGCCAATAAAAGTTTGATAAAATTTGATAAAAAGCAATTTGTTAAAACTTTTACTTAATACATATTCATAAATATAATAGTATACATATAATAATATAAATTAATAATATATAATAATATAAATTAATAATATATAATAATATAAATTAATAAAATAATAATTTAAGTATTTATTTATATAAAATTTATTTGCATAAGTTTAAATAAATTTTTATAATTTATATATGATAAACCTGTGCGTTTTGCTCTTTACATGTCCAAGAGAATAATATTTGTAAAATTTATTATGTACAATAGCGCTTTTTATTTTATTATTAGATATATTCGCTATTCGAATTTAAAGGAAAAATGCATAGCATTACTTTCTCTAGGATTACCCTATGTACATTTTTTTATTGCGATTGATTTTTGTCTTGATATCAAATTTTCGCAATTTCGTCAGTTTCAACGTCGGATAAAATTTTAAAAATCTGCAAAAGAAATTGCACGTATAAATATGCCACAAGAACAGAAGGTAAGAGCGGATTTCTTTTTTTTAATTTTTTAAAAATAGAAAGTGGTAAAAGTTTTCAAGTTCAAGCACATATAAGAAAAACGAGTGATTTTAGGTTTTGAAGCTACACGATGTCTGGCGTACTTGCAATAAAATACGAGCCGCCGTATTTCGCGTAGGACTCGATCTTTGGGGCTATTACAAGCCTCTGGATCCCGAGGGACATTGTTTAATATCAGGTATAAATACCGGACATTGGCACCGAGATGAGCGATCGCTTCTAAAGTTAGTTATCGAGTGGGAGCGATTATTTCTGGACGCTCGATATAATGGAGGTCGTCAAAATAATGCGTATTATCATTTTTCAGATTTCTGTTAGCTTAGTTATTTTTTTATTTACCAGTCCTTTTTGCTAATTAGATATTAATTGAAAAAAACATTAGTTATAGATTTTGAAATTATTGAATGCTTTTTAATTAACAATGTCCATTTTTTCTTTTAATTAAAATTATATGCATAAAATATACGCATTAGTTACATTTTTATATCGAGACTTTAGATAAATTTTAAGATTTACAAAATTTAAGTGCAAATAAATAATTTATGAAAAAAGCAATTGAAGCAGATGATTATAGATAGTTGGGAATGTATCGTACTATTTAAAAAAATAAATGTAAATATAATTAAAAATATAATTAAATCATATAGTTAAAAACCTTTCATGAAAAGAGTTTTAATTATGAGGTTAGAATGATTAGACTATTAAATTTTATTATGTATAGTTATGTTATTTTAAATAGAGTTAGACTTCAAAGAGTTGACTTGTTAATAAAATTTACAATCTATTTTAAAATTGAGTTGCACTGATGACTGAATAATTCATATTATCAAATGTAATTAAAATTTGCAAATCATGATATTAATTAGTACAATGTATACGTAATCAATTATTAAATTTACAGAGGCCAAATTTATCTCCGTTTTGGCCGGACCATTGAAAGGCGTGATTGGCTTATCGGATAAAGAAATCTGTGATTTAGCGGATTATTTTCGAATTCAGGACGGTCGGATTCTATATTCGCAATTTTGTGAAGTTATACACGACAGTGGTATGAGTGATTATTTTTATATAAAGTGTATTTTTAGAAGATTCTCGATAATTATCGCTTTTCTAACTTTAATGCGGCAAATGTCAAAATCTTATCTTATGATCAGAGCAGAACATAGAATTATCTGCTTAAGTGAGCTTGAAAGGTTGATTATTAACATTAATAAAAAAGATAAAAAAGAATATGTGACAATATTATAAATCGTATACTTGGCGAGGTTGATTTTTTTCACATATATTTTAGTTCAAAATAAATGAATGTAAATTACGAATAAATTGTTAATAATTTATTTTGTTATTTTTTGTTATTTTGTTATTTTATATTATTTTAATCTATCATGTTTGAATACAAAATTGTATTAAAAATATATTAAAAAAATTTGATGAATACATTATTAACAATTAATTTCTTTAATTTAGGATTTTGTATGTTTTATTTTTTTTTGCTTTTCTTGAGAAAATGGAAAAATATAATAGAATAAAATAAAAATATAATTTTTGCTTTATTATGTTTCATTTCATTAATAGAAATTTACTTCTCTTGATACGCTTGATCACACTTAATATAATTAATCGATTTAATGATTGAATCGATAAAACTGGCTACGTGTAATATGTAGATTTGTAAACTGTTTCTGTAACATTTTCTATAGGCCCTGATTTTGAAAAAAACAAGCCTCTGGTAACCGGTTTGGAATGGGAAGATCCGCTGCATGTAAATGCCTTAAGTGACACGGAAATGCGAAAATTTAATTTAATAATCACTCAAATTGCCATGTTGGTGAACAAAAAGAAAATTTTACTTTGGCCATATTTTCAGGATTACGAATTAGTAAGCACAGATTTTATTTTTAAATTATCAAGATATTTTTTATTTATGGAAAAGATTATTCAATCTTAATTGATAATATATTAAAAATAAATGAAAATCTAAAAATAGACCAAAAATTATACAAAAATGAGGTCTTTTAATAATAAATGCTTTTAATAAGTATTGTAAAAATAAATAATAAAGAAAAATATATATTTAATGTCTTTGATTTATTCAAAAATGTTTTATAGATTGCGAAGAATGTCGGTACAGTTACTCTTACCCATTTCGGTAGGATTTTAAAATTTCTGGGCATCGTTCTTGGTGCGGAAGAGTTTCGTTTGCTTGTAAAAAGATTTGCCAAAGATGTCTACACTGTAAATTACGTAGCATTTCTGAAAGCTATCGACGAAATCCAACGCTATTTAGATGAACATGGAATAGTGGATCTCAACGGAGTACTATCATCGTCAGAATTTTGTCTCGTTTTATTTTTTCATAGTTTTTATATGCATTAATGCGTTTATTGAAACACGTTTTGAGTTTTACTATCTCAGCTTCATTTTGTAGAAGTTGCCCGAACAATTTCCCGATCGAATAATTACAACCGAGTTACCGAAACTTCTACGACCGGAAATTGGTAAGATAGCGTCAAGTCAAGTGTTCGGTAAGCAAACGATATTTCATTCGGTAATGGAACCGACGAGAGAGACGATGCCTACGCCAGAAGTCATTAAACGCATCCAGAGACACATTCTCGAGCGTCGCATACGGATTCACGAGTTCTTCAAGGTTGCCGCAATCCAATTACGTTGCACGTTTAATTGACGTTGTGTATTATATTGAAAATCTCATCGCGTACGGATTATATAACGTGTTATCGCGGGCAACATTTGAGCTCGTCGTTATTTGAGCACGTCATCCTGATGTCGTAGAAGCGTATACAATTTCAATGTTATAAGAAATATACCGCCAATAAAAATTGAGCGATTTGTGTTGCCGTAGGGTTTCGAATATCTGAACGACGGTCGAGTGACCGTCTCGCAATTTCGAAGAGCATTGGATGCACTTCAGATATCTTCTTTGGGCCGTTTATGGCTGCTCGAGCCAGAAATTGATGCTCTGATAGCGTTCTATAAGGATCCGGATGATTCCGATCGCGTGTGTTGGCAAACGTTTCAGGATGATATAGATCAAGGTGTGCGAAGTCAAATAATAAATGAAAAGTTTTTAACCGAGAAATAAAAAGAAATGAAAAATATTCTTTAAAAATTTTTTAAGTATTTAAATATTTTAAATGGTAGTATTAAGAAATGACTTTAAATTAAAAGCTATATTATATATAAAATAGCAAATTTTAAAGAGATATTTTTTTCATGTCGTGCGTTAATAACACACTGAGAAAAAAATGCCGTTGAATCTCAGTGTGTTATTAATGCACGGCATGAAAAAAACATTGACATTATTAATGAAATGAAGATCTTGATTATTAAAATAAGAGCATGATGTACTGTTTCATTAATAATGTCATTGAATTAACAAAATTATTTCTAATTAAACTATGCTGTTGATTCAACAGCATCTTTTTCTCAGTGCAAGAATATATGCTTTATAAGTGTACAATCTATAGAATGCAAAAACATTTATTATCATTATATTTTCTTCTTATGTTATTATTTTACAACTTAAATTTTATTATTTCAATGGATATCTCCATTTAGTTTTTACCGTGAAGGGACTTGATAAATTGCCAAATCTGAAAGTGGAATCACCTCCTCAAGAAATAGCTGTTTTACCTCGAAAAGGCACCTTGAACTGGCAATGTCAATCAAAAAGTATAAGAGATCTTTGTGAGGATATCTTGCTGAGGGTAAAGCAGCGCGTACAAGAAAGAAGAATTCTTTTGAAGCCATTTTTTAAGGATTATGACAAGTATATATATTTTTGGATCATTATTAATTAAATAATTCATTTTTGGCAATAATAAAATCGATTTCAATAAAGAATTTTTTATTCGGTATAATTTCAAAATTATACTAAACTAATCGAAAAGATTTTATTGTAATTAGTAACAATTCGTTTAATTGATATAATTAAATACATCTTTAAAAAAGAAAGAAAAAGTAAATATGAAAAATTCTCTTAAAATAAAATTATTTTAAATTATTTAATTAAAAATTAAATTAAATATTTTATCAAAAAAGTATTAATAATTTTGAATTAATTATTTCATTGCAGACATAATTACGGTCATGTGACGCGATCTCAATTAAGACAAGTTCTCCTTACGGCGACTATATTGTTATCTTCGGAGGAAATATTCGCTCTAGAACAAAGATATAACGACGATTTGGGTTTTAATTATACTAAATTTTTGGAGGAACTGGAACTCCAACCAATCGTGGAACCTTTGTATAAATGTATGTTGGAGGATAAAAGAAAGATTAATGCCGAAAAGCTACCATCTGAACCTCACGAAGACGAGACTAACATCGTATTGATTTTGGCAAAAATTAAGGCTAAAGTTGTGCGCGAAAAAATCAAAGTAATTTGTATTTTCTATACAAATTTGCTAATTGATTGGAGAAAAAAATAATCTTTTTGCTGCTCTGTGTGTGCGCAGGTTCTCGAATTTATGCGTCAATTCGATAGACACAATCAGCTTATTATTGCAAAATCTGATTTTATTAGAAGTCTGGATCAGTTGCGTTGTGGTTTAACAACTGCTGAAATAGACACGATTACAAAAGCTTTTCAAGCTCCTCTAAAGTATGTAGATATTATAAAAATTGGATAAAAATTGTTAATTTGAAAAGCTAAGAGAATAGGAATAAAGATAAATATAAGAACAATCTATTAAAATTTTAAGTAAATTTTATTTTCTAAAATATTATTTATTATTTGTTTTTCTTTAACATAATTGTCTTTTACATTCTATGAAACTTACATGGTAAGTGTCATAGAATTTCGTCTAGTCAAAAAAGTATTTATATTTTATTTTTAATTTTACATTTGAAATTTTATTGATTATTTCATCTCCTTCTGAAGAGACGACTTCATTGAATATGTGAAGTTTGCAACAATTGTGGAAGAAGCCGTTACGACAGGAGGTTTGGAAAAAGTTCCGCTTTTGGTTCCCTTCCAACATGTGCCCTCTGAGGCAAACAGCCGGACCTTTCTGAATTTTGATGAACGGCAGATGGTAGCAATCGCGATGGATAAACTATGCCAAGTGCGAAGTCCGAATCTAGAAGAGATCTTCCAAGTAAATACAACTGCGATTAATTATAATATTGCAAATGTACTCGATACAAAAAAAGATAATTGCTATTATTTGAGATTGATAAGTTTTCTTCTTCTCGAAGAGGAAGAGCAACAATTACAATATTAATTGTATACGAGAAGAATAGTTTTGCTGAAGTATTTAAAAATTTTATTAGATCTGAAAATAATTTTGTTAGACCAAAATAATTATACAAGACGCTCAAATTGACTAGAGTATTAGGAGTTTTTAATTATTTTATAGTTTATAATTATTTTGATAATCTACAATTATTTTCAAATTCTCAAAATTTCAGATTTGGCAAAATTTTTAGATACTTATGTAAAATTATTCTTTTCGTGTATATTCTTTAGGATTATGATAAGGAAAACATTGGCACTATTTCCAAGGAACAATTGATGAAAGCATTGTCGGTTAGACGAATGTTAGAGCTTCTCATTAGCAAAGAATTAGACGCCGTACATAAGTGTTTCTCCATCGAAAGAAACGGCCGCCTGGAATTCGATTATCGAGCTTTCCTGCGTGCTTTGTATTTGTTACAAGAGAACAAAAAGATCATGCCCTTTTAGCAAATCGATGACTGAACTGATGGTTAAATCGATTACACATTCAAAGATTCAGAAATTATTTCTTTTATTATTATTATACCATAATGCATAATGTGTTAAATATTTTAAGGAAAATTATTATACAATCATAACAAATGATATTTCAAATCTCATATTTATTAAGTATTTATGTGATACGTAATGTAAAATGCCTTGGATTATCTGATTTTTGAGATATTTTTAATATATTAATTTTATTATCCTTACATTTTTTGAGACATATATAGTGATTTAAAGAAATTCATCTCTCAACAAACAAAGCATTTTTTTTAAAGAATTTTTTATGATTTTTTATTTCATTAGTTAATCTTAATCTTAATGTATGATGAATGTAAAGAGTGCAATATATAAATTTTTTATAAATATATAAATATATAATTATATGTGTATGTGTATGTGTGTAGAGATGGGCGATATCAACTCGATTATTTTGAAATTGATTATTTTTATTTTATAAAATCGATCATTACATGATGTTTTTTAACTTGATTATTCCCTAGACGATAGTTTTTTTGTTCGATATTACTAGAATCGTTACTAACATTTTGTGTGTGAATCAGAAGAATCAATAGTACTATGGATGCTTCTGATTGGTTATCGCGACAATATTGTAAATGCGATTTTATGACTAATGTAAAATGATCTTTATTGATCAGTTCTATGTTAACAGTTACTTTCATGATTTATCTATGAAAAAACACAACGACCAGTAGCCCAATAGCACAAAAAATCGCAATTATTGTATCTGTAAGTATTTTCTAAATTTTAATCAAGTAATAGTTTTAGATTGTTATTATAAACGAGAGAATATTTACATTATATGTAAATATTCTCTCGTTTATTGTTTGATTTTATTTAATAAAATAAAGTAATATAATATTGTATTGCTATTTTTTTAGAAAGATTCTCTTGATTTGAGATAAAAAACCAAGTTATATGGACCAGTTACATGGACCATTTATATTTTTTAAATCAAATTTCATTAAATAAATAAACATATTAGCATATTATAGCTAAAGGTATAGTAGAACTAAATGAAAATTGAGTAAGTCTAAACTTTTTTTATTGTATATATTTAACCTATAAGTTGGATTTTACATACAAATCTATTTTAATATATTTAAAATCTATGAATATCCAGACAGAAGATTAAATTAATCGATTATTATCGATGTTTCAAAAATTTTATCGATTATGAAAAATTGATACACTTTGTAATCGATTTTTTTGGAAATCAATTATTTTTTTCAACATCGCCCATCCCTATATGTGTGTATGTATATTTCTTTCTCTTCCTTATCCAAAAAAGTTATCAAAATTTAAAGTGGTTAGCTGGAGATTCTTTCTGTTTGTCGGAAATTCATCCAAAAAGCCGAAGTCTCCAGCCAAACACCAGAGAGATGACAACCGTAAATGTAACTTATAAAATATGTTTTTCTTATACGGTATCTCAATACCATTGGTGAATATTCTTTTTCGTATAATCTTCAATTTAGACTGTCCAAAACCATAAAGACGAATAAAATATTTTTGTAAGTAGATAAGAATTATGTAAGTTATTGGCTTGAATTATAAAACTCGTCAGATTAGTTTTTTTGGGAAGAAGAGGGAGAACTTCTTTATTATTTTATTAACGTCCGCATATCGAATTTTGATTCTCATGCAAATTTATGGGTTTTTTAAACTTGTTTAGATACAACTTAAGAGATATAAGAAGAACGAACATCGCATAGATCGCAGTAATCTTGGATTTTTACCGTCACATTGAACAAGGTGAGACATTTCTCTTTTTAATAATTTTTATTAAAACCATTAACTATTAATTGTTTGTTTATATATATATATATATATATATATATATATAATTATTT